ACGAATGACCTTTACGGACCTTTTAAAATACCACATGTAAACTTGGTGTTTAGTTTTCAAGGATTGAGATTTCATTTGTTTATCTCCCAATCAGAATGGTCGTATACTAACAACGAAACCCAAGCCTCTACATGGGGAGAACACTTCACACAGTGTGATGGTGCATTCGAATCACCGATCGATATTGTCAAAGGTGATACGAAGAGTGCTTCAACTCTAAAACCGATTCGAATCAATCCAGACTCGGTTGATTACTCACAAACCACATATCAGGTTATAAACACCCAACATTCAGGTGAGTCAAAATGGTTAAATTAAAGTCTCCAAAGAATGATTTTGGTGTGTATTAAGAACATGTGGTATTGTGGAAGTACATTACAGTACATTAAGTACATTACATTAAATGCAGGGAAGATACCGAACCTAAAATCGTGTAGATGGTTTGGAATGACAAAATGATAAATCAGGATGCCGAGGGATGAAGAGGGTAGTCTAGATTCTCACTCACAAATCTAACACAAGAGTTGATGAAACCAATAAAGAGTTCTGCGAATAATGAATCAATTGAGGTTAATGATACACGTCTGATTATCACCAAACGTCAACGAATCGTTTTGAAGTCTTGTTTTAGAAGGTCGGGAGACATTAAAAGGGACCAACCTAATAGGAAGGGGGGAAACGCATTGTTGAACAAAAGACGGTATGGCTAATTGAGAGCTTCGAAACTGTCTGAGTTTGTATAAGAGAGGTGTCTCAGGTTTTCAATGCAGCTGTTGATGTGTGTGGACCGCCGGAGATCACTGTCAATAGTGACTGTGGTTATTCTGGACACGGTTTGCAGTTTAGCGTATAGGACTCACATGGAAGTGACGAGCGAGAAAACCTGGAATTATGCTCTACGCACTTAGATGTATTGAGAATGCAAATGGGTTGGTTGGATGTGAAATATTATTTCAGTGAGGGAATCAAATCCCGAAGGAGACGAAATTGTCCGACATAAAATGACCTCATCAGCATTCTTTTGGATGTGAGCAAGAGATGCAACCAAAAGATCACTAAAAAGAAAATAGGAGACCGAACAGCATCTTGAAACACACCAGGATTATTAACGAAAGGTTATGATGTTCTCCTTCCCAATTGGATGCACTGGACCGTCTGTGAAGTATTCAGAGAGCCATGAGAGCTGCTATCGTGGAGTACCACACGATTCAAAATTAAAAAGAAAGGGAGGATCGGGAACAGAATCAAACGCAGACGGATAGTCGGAAAAAACACAACAGACAAACTTGTTCCAATTGTTCAATACCTTACTAATGAAATAGAAGGGTGAATACGGTGTCCAGTATAGATCTGTTGGGATTAAATGCAATCTGAAGGGCATTATCATGATGGACTGCAAGTGAGTCAGTCAATCATAGAGCTGCAGAGGTCATTGCGCTGAAAAGAAACTGTTTCACAAGAACATTTGAGGAAGACGATTTGAGGATTGAAATGATGATAATTTGACACCAAGAATCACGGAATAACAGAGAAAATAGGGACTCATCACCAAAGGATGTCATCTGAGGAATTGGTACTGCAGATATGTGAGCTGATTGTGACCGTGGTAACTCATAGGCGCCTTCCGAGTTCAGATATTACAGGACGGGACGGTGGGAATGCACTACTGTTCAGGTCGATGGTGCATCCCGATTGTGTGGATAACTGCTGGAACATACTTGAAACGAAAGTCTGAAGGATGATCCGTCAAACCAATATAACCTATCCCACACCGCTACTAACAAATAACTTTGAGAGAAATATAATAGTTATTGATGGATTGGTTTCATCGTGTAAATGGAAAATTAAAAACAGTTTCATCAGCTGTCCAGTGGCCCAGTGGATAGCATGCTTGAATTCTGCCCATGATGTCCCGGGTTCGATCCCCAATTGAGTTTATGGATTCGCGCTACTGATGAAACGGAACCGGGTCAAAACAGTAGTCTAGTGCTTTTTAGCTTTTCAGTTCACGCTTCGTTTGCCATATCAACGATGATTTTGCACTTTGAAATACAATCAAATCCTGTAATACTCACATGATTTAATTTATTTTTTATAGATGATACACAACGTAATGTCCTAGAACAAAGTAAATACGTAAATGGTAAAGCATCATCATTGATCAACAAAGTCGAAACGCGAAGAAATTTCTTTTCAATATCTCGCTTCAGACATTTATATATATATATATATCGATTAGTCAGTATAATAATACAAGGATTCCATAGCATAATGGATCATACAGCCGGAGTTGTGCAAACAACGTCACCTGGTTCAGGCGCTGCATGTTACCATGGCCATAAGAACAGTTGCCCATATCTCTGTGTGACATCTTCTATTCTCTCCCCTCCTCCACTCCTCATTTACTGTCTTTTGTCGCACACTCTTACACTTGTTTTATCCATTCTTGACTAAGACATTTCACATCATATGCAATTCACATATTTTTTATCCGGCTTTTCCCCACCGAATTATCGTGACCCCATAGATTGTTGTCAACCGAACATCTTGCACAGACACACTTAACTTTATCATAGGCCTTGTATTATTCTACTAACTAATCGAACTATCTATGTAGATACCTGAGGCAAGATAACGGAAAGAAATAGCTAATTATTATTACTATTACTAGTGCTGGTGATGACGACCAAACTTTGCTACACGCAGACATTTTGGCTTGGGTTTCCAATACTGGACAGTATTGACATTTGTCCATATCTTTCCATCACAACCGAACAGGGGTGATGATTTCAAGGTGGATGTTGAAGAGCATGGAGTGGTCTCGCAACCACCAATAATAAAATACGATACAATTTCATTCAAATGCAATTTTGTAATCTGATTGTTATCACAGATGCATGCCACGGGATCAAATTAATTATCGCAGACGAAGAAATATTGTTTGATCTTTTAGACCTGTGTTAAGCTTAAATTTGTAAAAATCGAACTGCCTACCTGGAAGTAAAGTTGTTACGTGCGATGGGTTGAACAGTATGGGGGTCTAGTCTGTCACAATACACTATGACCAATGAACCCGCAATCTAAATAGAGAGAACAGTTCAACAGCCTAACTCGTGTACGTGTTATACGTTAAGCTTTAAAAATTTGCTTACAGTTTGTTGTTCTGAAAAACTGTGGTCCCCATTTGGCAGTTTTTCTAATTGATTTCCATATCTTCTGACTGTGAAGTTCTCTAATTCTGTAGTTGGAATATTTAAGCTGTTAAAAAAAAACTCGAATTAAGGTATTCCAATGAGGAAGAATTTCATGTTACAATTGTCAACAAAATTACTTTGAATTGGCTTGCTTTTGGTGCACATATCTATTTACTAAAACATTTTCTTGAGAATAGATACAAATAATCAGTGAACATGCAAACTAGACGTTTTATTTCAACTATTAGGTGCGAATTGGATCAGATGAATCAGTCTTAACATTCGTTTGAAAAATGATACAGCTTTTTCACTTCTGCGTCGTGTTGCTGTTGATTGTGAAACGTTCTTATCCCAGATTAGGACTGATTTTTGAACAGTTATATCAAAGTTTCACGTTTCCTTGCTGGACGCTATAATTCACCATGGTAGCAGTTGTTCAAACAATTAGTGAAACGCGGAGACTGAATTAATCGGTAAACGTTCATCGAAGATATTCGCAGTATCGTAAGCACTCGTTGCACCCATTACATTTGTCCAATCATTCTTCTTTGTATTTCACATATTTCACTTCAGTTCAAATCGTATTCCCTGATAACGTGTGGAGAGTGTCGTTAGACAACACCACGAAGGGTAGTTATTGTGTGAAACAGATGCACTTCCATTGGGGCAGTAACGATTCAGTTGGTTCGGAGCATACCCTCGACGGAAAACGTTTCTCGCTGGAAGTGAGTTACACAACATATACTATTACACTAACTTCTCGTTGTCGATCTGCTGGATACTAAGGTAAAATCAGAGAACTTTTATTGATCCAATTATTTTATGTAAAATCTGTAAAGTGAGGGGTTTTCAAAAAGGTGAACAGAGCTGAGTACAGATTGCTCAGTAACAATTAGGATAGCAGCACGATACTTTCGGTGTTGGAACGCTCAAACGATGAGACACTGAATGAGAAATGCAAACTGTTGTGATCTGAAGGTTTGAGACATTGGTTTAGCTGCAAGCCGAATCGGTACAAGCTACCTGCTGAATGATATTTTGCAATTTGGTGATGTATAATAGTCTATATCAAGATGGTATATAATGATAGTTGTTGGAGGTTCATGGTTCATTTATTCAGATGTTTAATGAATGAATTCAATTTTTATGTTGACAGGCACATCTGGTGACATACAACTGCGATCTGTACAGCACGTATGAAGTGGCATCTACCAGTCCTTATGGTCACGCAGTTTTAGGGTTCTGGGGCATGGAACAATCGAACGTGCAAAGTGAGAACACCTTGCTTGGCAAACTGGGTCAATTTCAAACGAAAATCGCAGAAGTTCTGGAAATCGGTGTATCGGTGAATATATCCCCGTTTGATTTGAGAGCCGTGTTCAGCTTGGTAGACCCAGCCTCCTATTATCGATACATGGGTTCACTGACCACTCCTGGATGTACACAGAATGTGATTTGGACCATGTTTACCACAGTGGCCCCAATCTCGAAGGAACAGGTATGTATATGTGAAGAAAAATGGTCACATGGTGTTTGGTTTTATCTTTATTTGACCTCAGATATTTTCAAATTTTATGCGAGTGAAAATCAGTCATCTGTGAACAAACTTATAGTTGGAATGTGAAATTGGATTGGAGGAGCTTCAACTAAGTGGCTTATTTGTGAGTAGCCCATGGGCTTCAAAGCTATCTTTTTCACAAGTATACTACCAATGCAAGATGTTCACTCGAATAAAGTCAAAGTCAAAATTTTATTATGCGCAATTTAACAGAGCTAAAGCTTATCATGTCCCCTAGGATTTTTACAGAATAGTTTGAACAACTTCACGAGGAGAACATAATAATGATAATAATATGCATGATCACTCACGGATGTCCAAATTTTAAGTGTCCTTGTAATTTATCAAGTTGCGATTTAAATAGTTCAACTGTAGAAGCACACATTACATCGGATGAAAGAGAATTCCATACGCCGCACACTCTGACTGCAAACGAGTGATGCCGGCAATCAAGTTGACTGTTCTGCGTCTTTACCTTTAGTGGCTGTCCCCCGAGGTGATCAATTTGAGATAAAGTTAACATAGATAGACAAGGGTGGCTAGGTCGATGCAGTGTGTGATATGCCAAGATTAGGTACCCTGAGGTCCGTGGTATTGAGATGAGTAGAGTCCCAATATTTGCAGTCTTTCGTAGTATTCCTTGTTAAACAGACCTTTTACAAATTTTGTTGCCAACCTTTCCGGACGTTCTAGAGCCTTTTTGTCACGGTTCAACCATGAATTCCATACTTGAACGGCGTACTCCGTGTGTGGCCGAACGAACTCTGACGGCAAGCGTGGGAACAATGCTCCTTCGAACTGCNGCCCAACTTGGTTTAGAGCCATGAATGATGCTCTGGCACAGTTCGTGGAGCACCCTGCGTCCTCCTGTACCATAACTCCCAAATCCCAATTAGATACCTAGCGTGTTCATTGGAATCGGTTGGTTCATAAGAGCTTAATGACAAGACATCCGAAGTCTTCTTGGCCCCTTGACCCATCATATTGAGAAACAATGAATTTTGAACTCACATTATCAACAAAAAATAGAAGGAATTATTCCAAAATATTATATTAATTCATAAAAACAAGTCCTGCTGAAGAAATTTGGCACTTATTACTACTGAAAATCATTTGATACCCGTTCAGCGTCTCAAAAGTAATCCCCCATTATCAGCAGTTGTATGCTTCCGCAAATTATGCCATACTTCAAAGTGTCGGAGAGCCATTTTCAAGTCATTCATTGTGTCTCGTTAATCCTTCCACTCGCGAATCACCCAAGGTGTACGTTGTGTACTCCATCCAGTGGATTGTATAGTTCAGGGTGTTTCTGGCAAGAGAAGCAAACGAATAAGTACAGTCGGATCGAATACTCGATCATTCTATTTGTTTATTCACTAAACTGTGTTAGTTAAAACCGTTAAAACACTCACAGATATAGCCTATTTCGGCCTGTATCCCATCTGATTTTCAGCCTGCAAAATTAAGTTTGCGGTTTGAGTCTGAGCAGTAAGATCATAGAATGTGGTCAGTAGTGCACATAATGAGGAAAAAGGAGAAGTTCTTGTAGCTTGTTCTGGATAGTTTGAATATGAGCGTACTCATGTTCTGCATGCATTTTGCACCTTCAAATTGTAAAATGTTTGTCCAAGATCGGGTTGGTCTGGCACCAAGTCTCACCCTGATTGGGAAAGTAGTAGAGGAAGTAGACAAATTTTGCTATCTGGGTAGCCATATTTCACCTGGCGGGCGCATAACACATTAGGTGTCGGCGCGCATATACAAGGCTCCGTTGGCATTTACCAACTTGAGACATTTGTGGCGGCGTGGCGACATCTGGCTGTCTGTTAAGGGTAGAGTGTATGCTACAGCAGTTCAGCCAGTCCTGCCCTATGTTGCGGAGACTTGGCCACTACGGGAACAAGATAAAAGTAGATTGTTGGCGTTCGAGCACTGCTGTCTACGTCACATTGCACGAATCTGGTGAGGTAACCGGACGAGCAATGCTAAGGTTAGGCGGAGAGTTGTAGGCAGTCGCGGTCGTCCACTGGAGCAAGAGATCTACCTCCATAGATTCCGATGGTTGGGGCATGTGCCACGCATGTCATCAAATAGGTTTCCACGGCCAGCGATGTTTGCCGAGGCCGGTAGAGGTTGAAAAAAGGTCAAGGGTGGTCACACGAAGACCTGGCATGAGGGTATGAAAATCCTAACCAGGAGACTAGGTCACATAGGCCCTGTTAAGCTCCTCGGGCGGGCACCCCGTGAGTATGGTCAACGATGGTTAGATACACTGAGTGATATGGCTGGTTGTCGTAAACAGTGGCGCTCGCGCATCCAATAATAATTCTTCTAATACCACTCTTTATGAACTCTCTATCTTCCAATCTTCATTCTGCAGTTTTATCCAAATGGGGCACCAAAAGACAGCAAGCGAAACCGGCGCACGAAAGTGCATGGTTAATGGTTGTGAGAACTGAACTTGTTCTTCCTATATCTTTTTATTTACTAACAAATCCCGGATAATACCGTGGAGGGCTCCGTGGATAAAGGTTTGATTAAGGGCAATTTCAGCCTAGAGACGGGTGATTCCCACACATTTGGTCAGAACACATTTGCATCGGTTTGAGAAAAGGGAAGTGTTGCGGAGGAGGTATATCTGTGACAGATGTGCTGGTAGTCGTGAAAAACCAAGTAATTTTATGCCAATCGCCTGAGTGTATCGGTGTACGGAGGGGCCGTTGGCAGATTCCAGTTGCTTTCACTCTGAGTAGCACGGATTTTGTTAGATCGATGGTTGTTAGCTAGACAAATGGTGCGGGTGTAAACACGTAGTTTAAAAAGATGCAGCGCTGCTGATTCGATTAACTATTTTATTGTTCCACCCAGCTCTGTTGGAGTTCAAAGACTGATTCATCTGTTGTTTCACTCTTGTGACCGAGGGGAGGAAGTAAGTGATCACATACAAACGTGATTAAAGAAATAGACCGTTTATTGCTATTTTTTACACAAAGTGGTACGCTTGGCTGCACACATATTTTCCTGGGTGCAATCGGATAATTTCGTTATCTCCAAAGTGGTACCCCATTAACAGATGTTGATACATTTATACCAAGGTAAAAACCTCGTTTGTCAATTATTGACGTCTTACGAAGACAAAACAATGATTCCGTGCTCTTTATCTATTGATGCACTTATTATGTCACATGAGTTTGAATGATGTTTTAGATCTGCACCAAATTTATTTTTTCTGTTGCTTTATTGATCTTTCCAGTTGATAGCTCTACGAAATCAAAACTTTGGTACAAACGAGGAACAGAAAAAAATGGAAAACAACTTCCGTCCTGTGCAACAACTCAACTCCGAAAAGACTCCTATTCCCAGAGTTGTTTATCGGGCCAGCAGTGGTCTGGTACATGCAAATGCGCTTGTTTTGCTCATTCTACACGCCTTCCGAGAGCTCGCTCAGTAAACTAGTTCACACAGACCGCAGACAGACCAATAACCATAGTCTATGCCTTCAAGTAATACACATACAGGTTCATTCAGATGTTACCAACTTTGCTTTGGCGCCCTTTATCTGGGTTCTTTACAAATCTTATTGTGTTCCGATTGTACATTGGAACAGAAGTGTTTCCTCTCACCCTGAACCTACAACTAAGACAACGCTGGCCCGTACGCACACACACACACACACACACACAATTCTACTCTCGAATTTCGGAATCTGTTTCCTTTATCTCCCCCCACCCTCCAAAGAATAATACATTGTATACAATCTCACTTGTACTCCAAGCAAACTTTTCATTCCAAACGGTTAATGTGAGCTGCAACAGGATGCAAATGTTTTTCACACAACTGCTCCCATGAACCTGTCATCCCTAGTACTCGCGGGCCCTCGTGTAATGCGGCAAGGCCTCTGTCAGGTTCTTCATGCAGGTATGTGTGTGTGATCAACTCAATATACTAGTTTGAACTACTGATTCTCTCCTATGTTTATAAAAGTGACCAAAATGTTCAGTATATTTTAATTGATTTTGAGACTTCTGTCCTTGAGAACTACCCTTTGGTCTTTCAAGACAGAACGGTCCAGAAGAATCTATATGGGTAGTGGCTGGGATCTGTTCCTGTGCTTTAATGCTGGGAAACAAACTAAAAGCGAAGCACGAAACCTTCCATTGACTCTGACTAGCACCGTGGATACCCCAGAAAATATCTGTCTAAGCCTGACAGTCACCTGTTATGTTCTTAAATCTCTTGATTCAGTTAGTTTTCCTTGGATGAGTATCTCAACACATCCGATAACACCGCTGGTCTACGCATTTGAATATCG